CAAGAAAGCCACATCCTCCTCTCCAGAGGATTATCAGGAGGTTCCCCAGAAACTTGTGGGAGCAGAATAAATGGAATAAAAGGTAGAAAGCAAGCCAGAGAATGCTCCCCATCACAGACAGGAAAAGCCCCGTCTCATTTGAGTTGCGTGGGGAGCAGGTTAAGACTACACTAAACTTTGGTTTAGGTTATTTTTGCTTTTCCATTTACCACGTGCAGCAATTGCACTTCTAATGGAGTACAGGGCCTCCATACAGTCCTTGTCCTCTTCAAAGCACTTCACAGATATCAAGCTTCACAGTGTCCTGCTAAGGGAGCTTAATTTACACTTGATTCTCCTCAGCTAGTATGCCACTACTAGCAGCAGGAAAAGCTATGATGTAACAGAGGCCAGAACTCCCCCATCTTGTTTTCTTATTGATACTCTACCAAATACATTAAAAATGCAAGAAGGGAAATCATGAGGAGTCAGCAAAAGGAAGTGATGTGGCGGACTGGTCCATTCTTCCCAAAGTCTCTGGGGATACATGTAGCAAATTATGAGAGCACCTCTCCAGGAACAATGCCATGTTTCCACCAGGAGGAGGAATAAGTACAGGACTAAGCTCCTATTGCTCCAGTCTAAGCAGCAGCACTTTTGCAACACACAAAATGCCCCATGTGCACAAACTTTGCATGGGAGTTGGGGCTGGAAGCATTTTACATGCGGAGTGACTATTCACCATAGGAGGAAAGCAGCTGTCAAAGTAACATTAGATAATACCACTGATAGCTGCTGCCAAGATGCTATCAACAAACTATAGACTACATAGACTCTGCTAGACTCTATTTAGACTAGACATTAGGAAGAACTTCTTCACAGTTAGAGTGGCCAAGGTCTGGAACGGGCTCCCAAGGGAGGTGGTGCTCTCCCCTACCCTGGGGGTCTTCAAGAGGAGGTTAGATAGGCAGCTCATCTAGACCCAGCCCTCTTTCCTGCCTATGCAGGGGGTCGGACTCGATGATCTATTGAGGTCCCTTCTGACCCTAGCATCTATGAATCTACTCACACCCAGGTGGTTTAGGAACATGTGGGACCCAACAACTGATGCCCAGTCACAAGAATGGGGACCACCCATTGAAGTACAGGACAGGAGCATGCTGCAATACAGCCCTTCTAGCACTGATCTGTCAGTTAACTGCAAACCATTTGACATCATCACCGGTGCCCAAGAGAATCACTTGAATGAAGTGGAATTGCTAGGGTTGGGTATTTGACCTGTCAAATAAAGTTTGACCAATTGTCAAAAATTGCCAAATACAGTCAATTGCCATCGCAGAGGAGGAGGAGTGCTCTTCCCTCCTCCCCTGCTCACACCCAGTAAAAGTGACAGCTGGGGCAGCACCTTCCCCATGCCACACCGAGCAGTTGGCTGCAGGCTGCCCAGGACCTGGGCACAAAGCTTTCCTATAATATTTGACTGATCTTTCACCAGTCAAAAAAATTATGCTGTCAACTGACTGGCCAATTGACAACATTTGACCAGCGAACTGACCGGCTTGCCAACCCTGGGAATTAGAAGCGAATCTCTTGCTTATACAGGTGAAGTTTTCAAGACCCTTTACTCTTACAATTGTTCGTCTTGTATCTGTAGCAGGGTTCAATCCTGCAATTCTAAGTCACAAAGCTGTAGTTGCACCAGTAATGAAGGAGTATAACTGGGATGCACTCTTGAGATTTTCTGGACCACCCTTCCAGAATGCCTGCTTTGATTTCTATGAATGCTGCACCCATGCAACACCCCACACTCCCGACCACCACACATAATGAGGTTCCTTGTGACTCCCTGTTGAGCACATCACAGGGGAAACATCCTCCCTAGAGGGCTTTTCTTGAGCATAAATGCCTAGTTGAGATAAGGAGCCGTCAACTGCTCCCAGCTTGTTGTTAAACCTTAGTAACCAAAAGGCACCTCAATCATTAATGCTTAATTAGATGTGCAGCACACTGTCAACACAAGACTCCTACCACCATCACCACTTTAGTGCCTGGCCTAGTCATTTATTATGTTCAATTAAATAGGAGTTCATAGCCATTTGGTCTCAGAGTGGTGTTTACTGGGCAAGGAGGAGTACATGATCTTAAAGTAAATGCTGCTTGTTCAAAGTGTGTCCACCAAGCCAAATGAGAGAAACTAGTAAAGCAGGAAACTGCAAATCCTGCGGCAGCAGATTGCCCAACAGCAGGTGTAGGGGGGTGGGTGTGTGTGTGTGTGTGTGTGTGTGTGTGTGTGTGTGTGTGTGTTAGATTTACAATCTGCATTACGCATTGTGGGTCTTGCACCACTATTTTATCTCCTCCCCTAGCATGAACTCATTTATAGTGGATGTGAGGCAACTTAGACCACACAGGCGTCACGTTGGGTTTCATAAGCAATAATGAGCAGATGCTGCTTTCAGTCAGAAGTGAGAACTGCACCACGTTTCCAACTGGTGAGCGCAGAGAGTTAGATGCAACAAACCTGTTACCATCTTTAGTTACCTTCCTTCTTTTTTAAGCAGTGATTTGGATGGCTACCAAGATGCTGGGAGAGGAGGCTCCTGAAATCATACTCAACTTTAATCATTGCTAAAACCATATGCTCATGCAGCATGCTGTAGCATTTGTTACAGGTCTCTAGTGACACATACAGGACTTAAACAACAGCATGAGGAAAGAGTCAACACCCCATCTTTTGTTAGGAATGGAGTCTCTTTATCACTGCATTTCCAGCCAGAAAGAGGGGGAATGTGGGAGGGCAAGTCCAATGCCACTATCAGTAACATTTCCTAGGAATGCTGTAGGAATTAGCCCAGGCTTCTCTGACTGGATTCCCCAGTCTCAGTGCTGCCAAGGATAAAACAGAAAGGAACTGTTTGGTCAGGAAGTCTGTCCCCTGGGAGTGCTACAATTACAGGGCTTGATCCAAAAAACCCACGGTCACCTTGATTTATGTTGACCGGCAGAGTTGTATTGGTTTGCCTTACGTATCTATTTCTGATGAAGACTCCTCTAAAATCAATTTATTAAAGTAAAACCTAAATGTTTTTTTCTGTTCCTCCATTCTTTTTCCATATAAAAATCTCTTCAAGTAAGGTAGAGATTCTCTACGTAGGAGAACAGAAAAACTGGCTGTAAAAAAGTGCTGTCAGATGCCTAAGTAATACAACAAAGATGGAAAAGGTTGTATATTTTACCTACCAAATGCAACTTGAATATTATAGTGAATCAGCAGCATTTAAATATTATCGTTGGTATTAACATCCAAGTACAATACTAGAGTGGATATCCTCTTTTAACATCTAATGATGTTGTAGTTTAGGCAAATATTTTTAGGTATCCGGTATAAGCTTCACCCAGAAATGAAAAGAAAGACATACTTTATTGATTTATGTGCTTGAACTAACTGTAATATACATCATGGTTAGTTCAAGCATATAAATCAGTAATATATGCCTTTCTTTTCACTTCCGGGTGAAGCTTTTACATACATCATCCTTTTTAGTCAAAAAATCAGGGTTTGTACAGCTAATTTGAAGTACAAAAGGTAATACCACAATTCCAAAAAATATAAGCATCCTGAAAAATTACAAAACCAGTCTTCTCAGCCGTATGACTAAGAGCAAGTTAAGCTTCAGCTTAATAACATATATTTTGCCTGTGGGAGAGGGAGTTTGAAGCCAATTCCAGGGGGATGGAATCAAGGGCATGGATGATCTCCAACTACAGCATAAGGTTACTGCAGTGTTACCTTAAGACTGAGTTAAAACGTGTGGGGAGCTATTAACAGCAGGGTGAAACATTATTCTATATTTGGATTGTTAATCTATTGAATTTGTAGAAAACCTCCTCTACATTCATTATCTGTGCTGCCCCTTTGACTAGCTTGTTACTAATAAAAGAGCCTTTAGCACTTTAGAGGAAAGGACCAAAGCATACTTCCCAGCATTTGAAAATTAATATACAAAAATCAGATCCAAAAGAACCAGTTCAGCTGGATTTTTAATCACAAATGCATTGCAATTCTAATACCAAACCGACTGAGGGATAGTTCTCCCCCGCTTCCCCCACCTCCCACCAAGTGAATCGTAGGGTTTGATTTACTTTGAAACATCTTATCATACCTTGATCCATTACTGATGAGAATACTTTCCCTTATCGTCAACGTGCAATAATACCACACCAACAAGAAGTTAAACACTTCATCTGTCACCCTTTGAAAAAAGGCAGGAGAGTAAGAAAAGAATGATTCATTATGAACACCCATTTCAGCACTATTGTTCTCCCTCTCTCAAGTAAAAATATAAATGAAAACTAGTTATTGTGTCATGACAGAAAGCAAGACCCTAGTCACACAAGTCTTTAGGCAGGATCACATAAGTAAACTTGCTGAAAAGCCCCCCTGTGCCTTTATTCAAACCAACAGTCACATAAATCCAGGGCAGGCGAGGGGGGAAAAAACGGTTTAAAAGTCCAAAATTCTGGGGAAGGGCAATGCACTAAAAGAGCTGGGATTCCAGGCAGAGAAGCAGGCAGAGAGAGATGACATTAATTCCTTTTGAAGAAGCATCTGCACCACAGAAGAAATAGCTGATCCAATTTGCACAGGTGTTTCCAAGTTAATTCAGCGAGGAGATTCCATTAAATCTTTCTAAATCCAATCAACTAAAAGGCAAAAGAGCATCATACTTAATTTTAAAGGTCTGGAAAATCTTTTATTTTTGACATCCTCAAGTCTGGGAAGCCAAGAGACGCCCAACAGTGTTTGCATGTTGCATGGAACGTGTGCAATTTTTTTCTCAGCAGGTGATCCTGCATTAATGGCAAAGTTAAAAGCAAAGCTAACAGAAGGGTCAACACAAGTTAGGTTTTCTTAAGAATCACCAGGAAGTGCTATAGGGGCCAAGAGATATTGTCATCATGTTTTTAAACTTCACTACTCAAATATTCGTCTTTTTTTTAAGCAAACACTCTTCTACAATGCTCACAGAGAACGCAAAACTAATTAACCCATTACTGTCACAACTGAGCAAAATGAAGAAAAGAGGAATAATGAGGAAATATACTAAAATTGAAGGGAAAAAAAATCAAATCTCAGCTGTTACTTGCAACAAAGGATTAAAACAATTCAATCAGTAAGTGCAAACAAATTATTTTATTTGCATAAATAGTCCTATTTACATAAATAGGACTGAATAGGCCTAATTTTTTTGCATGACTCAGTCTCATGATTTTTACTTGATAGTGTCTCTTAAAATAGAGAATTAACAAGGAGACAGTTAGCAGTGTTTAACAGCTGTTTGTCTATTAACTTGTGCTACTAAGTTGGCAAAGGGATTAATATTGAATAGTTGGGATCCATTGCATTTTCAGTCAAAAAGCTTAGTTAGAAAGCAGAATACCATCTTACCTGTAATGAAGAATAAACCTGCATGCTACAGCACCAAGTAACAAGATTATTGTCAAATAAAGTTTGAATTTCTCATATTCATCTTTGTAGGCAAACCTGGAGTGACATTGCAATAATGCAAAAGCATTAATATTTCTAACATTAACAAATTAAAATTATATCAAATTAAATACTGCAAGCTGATTTACATTTCTACAGGTGAAATGACCTGGTTTTATCCACAAGCACTCCATACACACTTGCAGTACACAGAAATTGTCTTTGTACAAACTGGAAGGCCTCTAACATTAATGGGCTTTTTAAATCTTGGATGAAAACATGTCAACTGGGAAACAGCCAACTGGATTTAAAATGTTCCTGAAGATTATGCCTTCCTCACCCAGCTCTCCCTTGCTTCCCTGCTCCACAAAAAGCACCCCACACACACACACACACACACACACACACACACACAGAAAACAGACACAAGGCTGCATTTCTCTACCACTAAAGGAATGGAAGCACAGTACAGTGGACATAAGACCCTTACATAGTAAACCTGACAAAAAAGTCTTTTTATGCACTGAATTAATTTAAATCTCAGCATAGGTAAATAAATGATTAATTTTACAAGTAGATTAACTGTGGCAGAACAAGCTTAAATGAGTTATGGTGGCATAATCACTAACCTATATCAAAGTTTTACCCAAAGGCAGAATGAGACTTCCCAGTGAGGCCTAAGTCTGTGCTCGATAATGCCTGTGCAACCATATGCATGACAACAGGGGCTCCATCCTCACAATGATGTGAAAACAGTGTGGCTATGGAGGTTTAACTGAAAGAAATATCCTGTCTGCAGAGCCTTATTTTACTGACTGACATGCAGAAGCCAGACCAAACCCAGCTGGACTCTAAGTTCCCAAGGGCCAGTTTCAGGCCTGGCAGTTAAAAAAAGGAAACACTACTTCCCCCCGCCCCCCAACACACACACACTTACAAATCAATCAAACATATTCCAGAAGCTACTGAAACTCAATGTACCTGGAGTCTTACAATGCCATTTTATGGTAAAAACCAAAATGGAAGCCCCTTTGCATTGTTAAAATAAGCAAAAAAAAAAAAAACATCCCCAAAAAACCTCTCAAACATTTTTAAGCCATTTGATTCCTGACAAGTGGTGAGGCTGACCTCAATGGAGTCACACCATTGACAAATTTGGTCCAAAATCTTGAACAAATTGGAATATGGATGGAAAATCCACCAGCACCCTGAACAGCCAAGACATCTCTGCTCTTCCAATTAAACTGGACTTCAATATGTCTTTTACTAACTGGGAAAAAAACAACAACAAAAGAATACTTACTTTGCCTGATTACTCAGAAGAGTTACATTCACATTTCCCAGCACCAGATTTAAGTACAAACTGAAAGATAAACAACCAGAAGACAGATTAGCTAATTACAGCAACCAAGAAAAAACCACAGATGCTAATTTAAAATGCTGAAGGCTCACTGGGAATACACATCAATCACTCTTCAGATTGATCCACAGTATTGGTATTCTTAAAATGAGTCAATACTTTCATGAGTAATTCAGGTAAGAAGCTCCTGGTGGGAGGTCTCTCTACGGTCTCTAGGATGTTAAGAAATCAGACACACGCTCCTGGGGGTGGAAGTGGAACAGTCTTTAATATACAAGTTACATCTGCAAAAAAACCCAAAAAACCAACTTGTGACTGCATCCCAATATCATTAAGACAATAAAATACCACAGTTGAGAGAAGGAGCTGCAGACAAATCTCTTGGTCCCAAACAGAGAAGTGGTGGGAGAGTTTATATGAATATTCCAAATAATGATGGTCCAGATTAGCAAAGCCTCAGCACCAGCACAGCTCCTTTCACATCCACATTAAACATACTTCTGAACAACCACTGCTTCTCCACTGCAGCCCCTCTTTAAGTAGATACGGTCACTCATCAGATCCTCTGCAATTTCTGTTACTGTTTGGTTTCTCTTACCTTGCAATTCCATTCTTTGCAGTTCTGCAACACCCTGACTCCAAAGCACCTTAGAGATATTAAAAAACTGAACCTCAAAACTTGCTAGGAAATGAAGCATTACTATGCCCTCCTTAAAGAGAGGAAAACCAGCATCCAGAAAGTAAGTTCACACAGCAAGTAGGGGATAGATCTGAAAACAGCTGGAGGATGGATCCATATCTTCAGAGTCCCAGTCCCGTTTTATGAAAGACGCCAACTTTGGAGGATGGAAGAAATGCTCACGACTCACTTCAGGCCAGACTGGCAGGTTGTGTTGTGTTTTGCATTAACATCCTGTCTGCACTTACAGGTATAGCGCAAATGTAAAATTAGTCAAACATGTTTAAAAAATGTGCATCTAATTTACTCTCTGAAGTATTTAAAATTACATGTTGGGCACTTCAGATTTTTTCTGCATGGTCTCAGACCCACACAGATTTTTCTAAAAATAATTCAAACATCTTTGAGGATCATGTACAAACAGGAAGACCACAAAGAGCGTGTGAGGGAGATGCCCTTGTGGTTTTGAGCATGTATCTTTTTCCTTTTAAAAAATGTGCCATTTGAAAATAGTTATGGAAATTCCATATATATAACTGGAATGTGTTTTCATCCCCCAGTGGAGACTAGCAGCTCTTCAGGAATCACATTTTTGGCTTTAAAATAAAAATCTGGGTATGAGCACGAAAAGTTTAAATTATACTTTAATATGTGGGTTTCGCGCAAAATGAGGCAATGGCAGTCACTGCTTGCTAAAGTTGCAACTCAGCTAGGAGTTTATGGTTATGGAGAATAAAATCATACATGGATTTCTCAGACACACATTACACTCCTTTGGGAACTAAACTGCTATGAGCCTTTAGATCAGCTTTCTTGTTTAAAAAAATAATTGCTAGAAAATACATACCCATTTTTCTTTGGCAAATAGGCTTCCATATCAAAGAAAACATTTTGCCTCTCTTTAATTTGGGTATTTATTTGCTGGATGAGGTCAGATTCTTCAGGACCAGCTGCCCGTTTGCACCTGCAAAACACAAAAATCCCTTTTTATACATGTGTGGAAAGGAGCTAATGCCATCTTAGAATGCATTTTCACAGACCTAAATTTTGTAAATTAGCTTCATTTCTACCTCGGAGAACATATAACACCAGCAGAGTCTCCCTATGCCTGAAGAAGGGTGTTTGTGTCCAAAAGCTTGTGAAAAACTTTTTTCCAACTATTTAGTTGGTCTAAGAAAAGATATCACATCTACCCAAAGAACCTAGCCACCTTAAAATGCATACACTTTTTTTTGGGGGGGGTGCGGGGGGAACAGTAGCTTCCCCAGTGCTTTAATAGCATCAGCTGAACAATGAAGAACTGTTTCCATTTTAACTATATAAGTTTACCTCTCCATTTAGTCTGTTTCTTTATTCCAACAATAATGCTCAGCTTGAAAATTACATTAAGCAACAAACCAGCAAGTGTATTTCACTTTAGGTTACAGCCTGTGTTTAAGGAGTTTCACGTTTTGTTTCTTTGTGCAGAAGCAGGATGCTGCAGTGTTTGTATCCCAAAAGATACTGGCCAATGCTGTCTCTTTTCAAAAGGAACTTCCCCCCCCACCCACTTCGTTATGTTTTCTAAACCATGTAAAACAATTCTGCAGATGTTTAAAATTAGCTTGCTTTTACAAGTCCTATATTGACACAAATGCCCTTTTAAATTTTAAAAAAATTCCCATCCAAACTACAAGCTCCTCGTGAAAGGCACTCTGAAGACAAAAGCACATTGTCTAGCCTTTAAAAAACTGACATCATGCATCCTACAGAGGCACAAGTGAAAGGACGTCAAACTCATTTAAATCCTAGAGATCAATTTAGTCCCAGCACAATTAATAGTAGGTTAGATGGAGGAAGGCGGGGAAAAGGGACCCCCTGATCTGCTCTTCCTGCTGTGTGTCCTCTGAAATCAAGAGTTTTGGACACAGCAGGTGGTGCCAGTGTAAGCAGTGCTGAATACAGGCAATATTAAAGCAACAGGAGGGCGTTTGCAGCAATTGTTTTGTGGCCCTAGCCTCAATCATATTACTTCTTAGCATACAAAATTCATATTTCCTTCGACAGTGGGAACCTGAGGGATCGGAGGAACATATACCACAGGTGCTGAAATATTGCAGTACTGGACACAACAGCAGATTATCAAAAGAAAGCTCACTATCTTTACCTTCCTATTGCAAAGGCAAACTAAAGGAAGATAAGTGTCAATCTTCAAACTACGCAAAAAGCAAGAGAGCCCTTCTGGGGATTTTTAGTTCATTTCCAGCTTTGAAGAGAAGCTACTCTGGTTGTGACTGAGGTAGGAAGCAGCCTCCCAGAGCTCAAAACAAAGAGGAAAATGCAGTTTTCTAACAAGAGAAGGAAGTAGGGAGTTCTACTTTCAGCCTTTACCACCTGAGTGCTAAAACAATACAACGATAAATCAGGTCATGTCAAGGAATTCTAAAAAAAAAATAAATAAATCAGATGCTGGAAGATGACTTAAAGTCCATCCATCATATCACAGCTGCAGCGATTCTTCCTTGCCTGCTCTCTAAAGAACAGAGATGTGGCAGGCAGCTAATCAGGGCTATACTCTTTACATGAGATCCATCACGGATAGTAAACACCAGAAAACACAGCTGATGAACTAGAAAGTCAATGTTAACTGATAAAAATATTACAGCTCTAGTGGGATCCAAAAGCAATTATTCAGTCCCAGGTAACCAGGTATGAGATTAATCTTCCTCCAAGACATCATGTAGTTTTAAAAAACTCCCCAAGAAGCAATGGAAGAGATTTAGCTCTGAATCATAATAACTGTTGTGCAATTTTAACAAGAACACAGCTTTGCAGTTGTAATTTGGGGGCTTACAACGCTACTAGGCTGCGTGTGGTTTGTCAGAGCTGACCATTTACAGCCAAACTTGCAGTTTTACCAAGTACTGTGAAACCGAGAAGGGGGGGAAGTAGCAGCCTCTGATGTTTGAAAGAGGCTCCTACTTTCACCCTTCTCAATTTCACATTGAAAGACACTAGAGGGCAATGTCTTTAGCCTAGCACAGAGAGGATTAAGCTTATAACTTCTGCGGTCACTGATGGGAGATGAGTAATCAAGCACTGCTGAAGGTTGAATTCTGCCTTTGGATGCAACCATATGACTGACAGTGATTTGATGCAACTTTCACTGTACTTTAAAGGACTGAGGCTTCATCTGCCTGATAATCATTCTGTCACCTGGTGTGTTAAGGCAAGCTCTACAAAGGGAGCAGCTCTGTGTTGGCTTCCAAGGTTAACCCTAGAGGGTCCAGGGGGCCTTTTTTATTTCTCTCTTTCCTTGGCTAGATGCTGATGCCAGTTAATTTAAACACATTAAGCAGCTGTGGCAAGATGAGGCTCTTTGCTTTTGTGGGGATTCAAGATTAACATCCAGCAAAACAAGTGAACAGGACATACCCTGCATTTAAAACAACAAATATATAGACATTTCAGCCACTCGATATGGAGAACCCTCCCACCCAAAAGCGTGCCATTACCTTTGGAGGCTATATTTCAAGTCTTTTAATTTCCTCTTCTGTTTATGTATGGAGCTGCTGCATGCAGTCTGCAGGTTATTAAGTTCTTCCAGTTTCTGTCTATAGACCTTGTGAGTTTCCTGTAAGGGAACAGATTTGGTTGGTAGAAAAATAGTGACACAATACCTAATCCAGAAAAAGCTTTGGAGAAAGACTGGGGGGGAGAGACACACAAAAATAACCCTCTTTTCCCAGGAGGCAGTGATGCCCAAACTGCTCTCTGGCTCCTTCCTACCTGACCCTACCAGTTTCAAGTAGGCAGGCATTTTTCAGAGACAGATAAATGCTCCATTCATTCATTATTAATGATTTTTATTTGAGCAAAGTTCTTAGAATGCCTATGACATGGAGGTGCCAAGTCTAAGCAATTGCAGGCAACCCTGCTTAGCACTCTTAATTGGTTCCTGAAAAACTGAGCGTTAAGCAAAACCGGAAGGATTTGACGACCCAAGATGGCAACCGCAATTGTTTTTAATGACACAAAATAACGACCGCGAGCGTTATAACGCAACTCGCTAAGCACTAAGTGAAATCAGGTATCAATTTAAAATGAGCGTTATAGCAAAATAGCGTTAAGCAAGGGTTGCCTGTATGAAGAACCCTATAGAAAAGGAAAGATAACTCTCTCCTGTTGTCTGCATTTGTCATTTATACTTCATAATGAGCTTTTCCACTCAAGGTAAGCTCCCGCTCCTGTCTGATCCTACACTGAAGCCATAATCCTGCATTTCATCCCAATCTGTTTCTATGAAACAACTGGTTAAATCACAAATCAAGAACTACAGCTTCACTGCAGCATGAAAAAAGGAGGTTTTGAAAAGCCTGGAAATTTAAAAGCAAAAATACCCCCAAATCCTCTTATTTAAATATAAACCTCTTTACCATTGTTACTAATTAAACACAATCTCAGTGACCAGAAACCAAATTCACCACGTTCTAGTTAAGAGACACAGGTCAACGCTCCATGCAGTATCAAGGCCCCTCTTTAAAAGATGGCTTTGTCACAGCTTCTCATGGTTTCAGACTAACATGGTCATTTCCTCATCCTCACCGAAACGTTCTGGGGCAAAGCATAGATACTACAGCTGCTTCACCACTACCGATCCTCCACCACGTTCAACCACAACACAACCATGAAGCGGCCCACTACGTGGAAAAGTTCAACTTGTAAATGAAGTGCAACTGGCTGAAGCTAAACCAAGCAAGACAACAGCAATGCCGCTGGGCAAGTTAAAGCCTCCTTTGGTTGAAGATACACACCATAAACCATCTATTCTGTTCATAGATCAAACTGTTCCTGGATTCCTCACTGTCATGTGGATGCCATAAGACAGCATGAGTAACACGTTCTGCCGGCTCCAGCAAGCTAGGGCCCTCCCTCCCTCTCATCCTGGCAGAAATCACCTGGCCTGACTTACTGATGCCTTCATTAGTGCTGTGTTGGATGGCAGCAATGTAGTACATCAGCTGCATGAAGCCCTCAAAACTAGCAGAGAACTAGTAAGCTCAGGCTCATCTTTTGTGTTCTCATCTCCCCTTACAAGTCTGAATTCAGTTCAAGGGTTCGATCCTTATCAGCCAAGCATGCAATGGCAGGACTCAAGATATCTAGGAGATGAACTAAAGGTCAGTTTTGATCTCCATGTTGAACACTGACAGCTTTGCTCCTTCAGTCCAATGGAACTACCTCTAACCAGGGTAAAGAGAAAGGAGACTCAAACCCATCTGTGTATTGGTCAGGAGAAGCCTGCAGCATGCTTTGTTATGATGCATCATCTGTTGATTAGGTCCAGGTCAATAAAAGAAATACATTTTCAACGCAAGCTGAAAAACATACATTTGAACACCTCACAACTGCAACTAATTCTGCGTTGCAGGCATTAAATTATTGTGGAAGCTGGGGTTTGTAACTGTGCTCAAAGCCGTTTTCAGTTACAAATAGTGCCCTTTTAAGTCATTATCACTCTTCAAGGCTGGCTCTGCTTTCCTTAAAAGCCTCGAGCATGTTAGTTTCAAACTTGTGGGTTCCACAGCTTCTCACAGCCTCGGGCACGTCCGTGTCCGCAAGAGAACAAAATGTGACAGTTAAATTATTGATTAAGAAATGACTTGGGAAATTGTACAAAGGGGACCTACTTACAACTCAGCAGGTGCACAACTCCTATTGTATCAACAAAAATACAGTAATCCAAAAGGTCAAGTACATTCCTGGAGGGCTCACTTTAGTACACCTTTCTGGAATAGGCAATGAGAAGCACTTAAGGCTTAAGTTTCATTGGAAAGGTTCCTACATGAAGCTCACTAATTCTGCAGGTGTACAAACACTGCAGGCTTCCTTGAGTTTGTAAGTTCTGCAGTGTCACAGCCTCAAAGACTGTCCATTTGTATAAATAGAAGTTATTTCCCTCTGTTTGCTTAGTTAAATTAGTAACCGGAGTTATTCTTGTGACTAATATAGAACAGCATGTTAAAGTTTAACAGTTACAGTGAAATCTGTCCTTCCAACACATAGAAACATACCATAATTTGGTTACTTACACTGGTGCATGCATATGTGTACACAAACAGCAACAGTCATGAAGCTTATTTTCATAAAAAAAAATGAGGCTCATGTCCATAAAAGAAGCTTGAATATTACAGTAGATATATTTCTGTGCCTAACACATACACAAACATCTTCAGAGTCTATCACTATGGGACTTGTTCCAGAGATGCAAAAAGGCCCATGTAGGCAGAGAAAATGGGTGGCTATGCTGCAGAGAGGAAGAGGAAGGCCTACAAGCGCTGCAGGGCAGGCGTGGGATATAAAACACATGTTATGCACCAGATCTAGTCCTCAAGGCTCCAGGAGAGAGATGTGGCTTGGGAATGCAGCATCCAAAAGACACTGAACAGAAGTGAGGATTGAATTAATTAACCAAAAGCAGGTTACAAACACTCACTGCATGTCTTCTATTTACAGACTGGAAAGTGGAGGCAAAATAACCAGTAACATTGGGCCCTGATTTCCACACCTTAAATTAACCTCTTTTCTAGATTTCTTTAGAAGAAACAAAACAAACAAAATTATCAGATTTCTTCAAAGTGTATTAAAGTTGGGTCCTCAAAAACTGAGCTACCCCAGACACTTGTTTTTGCAAACTTCAATCTAAGTGACTCACTTAAGGTTCCCCGTGAAGTCTGCAGTGAAGATAACAGGATCCAGGAATCCATTTATTATCATGATGCCCGGAGACTCTTATCGAGGACTAGGATGTCACCCAGCTAGGCACTGAGAACAAAAGATGGCCTCTGCCCTAGAGGGCTTACAATCCAAATGACAAAGAGACAACAGATGATACTGGACAGAAAAACAGAATTAGGCTATGCTTGTTGAGGCTTGAGAGAAGGATGATGCAGTAATCACAAAGTGAGATTATGAAAGCCTGGAGGAGAGTTTAAGCAGCACATACACTTGGCAAAGGCTGGTATAAGAGATGCTACACAGAGCGGCTTCATGATTTTGGTGTAGTCCCTTTGCTTTCACCGCTACACAGTTCTTGCTCTTAATAAACCTTTTGCTGTTTTCATGCACACAAAACACAGCAACATTTCCTTGAAAGACAACATCTCCTCGTGAGTTCCTCAAAGGTGACACAGAGCCCATCTCTAACAGACCACATCCGAAAGACGGAAACCAATGGAGGGGTTAGTCAGAACTTTATATTCAAACCAAAGTACCTTTCATTATCTCTTATCATCATAAGAGAATTTAGCTTGATACAAGTAGCAAAACTGAATTTTTTTTTAATTCAGTTTAATTTGTTTAGACTATATAGTCTTCTCCCTGATGCACTTAGTTATTAATTATTAGTAGCTCCCATGACTGGAACAGAGCAGTTACTTCCACATACATATGTCCTTTCTGCACTGGCAAGTACAATTACAAAGTGAGCTTCAAGGCTAAGACAATATGGGACATAACAAAAATGCCAGTAATCGTTATTAATATCACATTTTGTACTTTTATAGCAGTATCATCTGATGATCGCAATGCATTTGACCAACCGTTATTCTCAACACCTGTGAGATAATCATTATCATAATTTTACAGATGTGGTAAATGACGTGTGTTTGTACGGTAGCCAGCACAAGGATGCCCTAACCCCAGCTGGTGCCTTTAGAGTAGACACTACCACAATGTTATTCTTAGTATTAAATAATCTATAGCAGTTAGTAATGAATGCAGAACTGACTCCCAGTCCTAACCACCAGGCCATGGCAGCTTCTCACAGTGTGATACCAGGTTGTATTATGTGAATTCACTTTACGCAAGATGACAAACTGAATTGAAAAATGCAATTTTAAGATTACACACTGCACATTGCAAAAGTTGTGTGCATCTTACACTTAACAGTTCAAAGGTCAATGACCTAAACCAATGAGAACACAAGGCTATATTTTTATATTACATTTTTAATCCATGGCACAATTTAAAGGCACTGGATTTTTATATAACATGGAGGGGATTAAGTGCTGCTGTCATGTTTAAATTAAGTAGTATTTCGAATTTATAAAAGGCAGTGTCCTGAGCCTCAAGATATCAGGGTCACCACAGCACATTTTGCAAGTGTTCCCTAAACAGCCCACCACATATCACTGGATAAATGCTGTTCTTTCTACATATCTTTCACAGTGCAGGATAAGGTATTTAACACTATTCCCTGAAACTGTTTCTGGTTTCTGCTGAGATGGTTTCTGCTGAAGATATACAGTAGCTGCATTTAGGAGACAGCTATACAGGGCATCAGCCATATCAAATGCATAAAGTGCCCTTTGCTGTCCATCTTCTGTATGGAAGCAGATACCGAAACATGAAGTATAATTTTCCTAGCATTACGTATTTCCTCACCTAAACACATGGATAATTTACAGCAGCATCACATGAGCAAAATATGTACTTTACATACCATCTACCAACCCAGGTTTGCTCTTTAATTGCCATTTAAAGCCAAGGAGACTTCATCCTCGCTTTCAGATGCACCCATCTCTGTCAGAGACTCATCGTGGATATAAATCATGAGAACCCTGGTTAATCACAGTATTATTCCAAAGCTGCCGCCAAGACAAGCCAGAAATACTATGGGATTCCCACTGTCTCTCTTCCGTGCAAAAAAGCCTTTCTTCGATTTAAGACAACTTTATCGCTGCAGGATCATCCCCAAGTACGTACAAGATGAACACTGCCTAAAAAAGCCTTCTGTGCTAAGAAACTGCAGCAGAGCGGAGACAGCACCAGAAACCATGAGCTAGGATAATGCCTGGTCCTCTCCTAACTACAAGGCACTACGCAGGTGTGACATACTCCACACGCACTGAACGAGAATGGGAACCACCATCCGTCTTCCACCGCACCTTGCCCTGGCCCAGCAAACAGATGTTAACGTTTCCATCCAGGTGCTGTCAGTAGGGCTGCCGCACTCCAGACAGGGTACTTCCCTAGAAGCAAAAAAACACTCTCCTCTCTAAAGTGGCAATTCATGATGCCAGGCACCAAACTTGTTAAGGAACCGGCTAACCCTCCCATGCCAGCAGGCAAGATCAGGAGCTAAATAAGAATTAAAATACCCTGGTGCCAAAAACCCCCCCCAACAAAAACAGACCCAACCCACTCAGTTTCTCTGCTCATGAGCAAAACATTGCAGCGATGCTGCGCCCTCTCACTTTCTCCAGTAACTTCCCAGCTGGAGAAAGAAGAAAGGGAAAAAAGAAGAATAAAAGGAGGCAGAGGCCAGAAGAAACAGGGCATCAAACCTTTCTATGCCAGGCAACCCCCAGGGGTTCCCCACTGCCTTGCCAGCCCTCTAACGCACACCCCCTTCCCTCTGCCCCACAGCTAGCTTAGCGAGCGCTGCTGGGTTGAGGAAGGCAGAGGGGTGGGCAGCCTGCTCCCAGGCATCCCCCGCTCGTGCTGCAGCCCGGCCCTGCGCAGAGCAGCGGGGACACAAAGGGACCGCAGCCCTCCCCTCCCGCCGGGCAGAGCCGTCACCTGCAGCTCCTGGAATTCGGCCTCCAGCTCCTGCCACTCCCGCAGCAGCATGATGCGCGAAGGCCGGGGCCGGGGCGGGCACTGAGCAGGCGGGGGTGGGGGCGGGCGGCCCCCCGCACCTGCAAGCGGTGTCCTTTCCCGCTCCGCTGCCCTTGGGCTCGGCTCCGGTTTGGTTGCTTCTGCTTGAGTGATAGGCACTTATGTCATCGTGGCGGCATCAGGCAGCCTCGGCCTCGCGGGTGGAAGTGGGGCACAGACCTGAGCCTTGCAGAGGCTTTTAAAAAAGACTGGGGGAGAGGGGAAATAATCAAGAGGGTTCATAGATGTTTGGGTCGACCCCTGCCCTGGACAGGAAAGAGCGCTGGGGTCACACGACCCCAGCCAGGTGCCCCCAGGGTAGGGGAGGCACCACCTCGTGTGGAAGCCCGTTCCAAATGTTGGCCACCCTCACGGTGACGAAGTCCTTTCTAATGTCCAACCCAAATCAATGTGTGGCCGTTGTTCTTGGTTACTCCAGGGGGGGGCCTAGTAAACGGAGCATCTCCTATTCCCTCCTGCCCTCCCTGGTGAGTGTATGGGCAGCCACAAGCCCCGTCTTGCGAAGGCTGAAGAGCTCCAGGTCCCTCGGTCTCTCCTCGTAGAAGCAAGGATCTCTTTTCTAGGACGGCTCTGTAGTTGGTGTTTGCGCTGTCTAACCTGGCCAGACCAGGATGGTGGCAAAGGGAAAATACCTTGACCAAAGTGATGCAGTTAAAATGGCATCATGTAGTAGAGGGTTGTACCTTTGTCTGTGCGCGGACAGGACTCCCTAATGAGAGCTCATCGTTAGCGTCCCAATGGTCAGCTTCCAGCTGGGCTACACGCTGACTGTATGCGAATGGGAGACTTCTCCCTAGCTTGCTTCGGCGGCCATAAGGTTGAAACTCAGAGGGATGCAAACCCCAACCCTCCGGGCTTGGGCTTGGACGTAGGATGCCGGCCAAAGGATTCGGAAGTATCTGAAGCCCCAGGCTGGGGTGGAGGATACTTGCCAGTAGCAGGACCACATATGGTTCTTGGATGATTCAAACGGATTTGGACCTGATCTGGCTAATTTGACCCAGGACACAAAAAAAAGTTTCCTTAAAAATAAAAAGCTCTGTAGTTGGGATAAAGTTAGACAAGCTTTGCAATGGAAGACCCCCTCAGAAATCCTTGCCTCTCGCATCAACCCTGCACCATCGCAGCAATATCGCTCTTATAAGAGGCCATTCACAGCACACACTTCCCGACCTAAATTACCCCTCTGCCACTAGAGTTTTCATCGTTCTATGTTTAGGCATCCCACACAGCGAGAACAGCTCCCCTTGAGAGACCACAGCACACATTAACAGAGTTGACCCAGTTTCACGCACGCTTCTTTGTTACTAAAGACATACTGCAGTGATGGGTCCAGTGCAAGTGACCCTTGGCCCAAGCAGTTACTGGGTGTTTGGGGCCTTGCCCAGTGGTTAATGTTAACAGGAAACATTGCAAGTGCAAGTCAGGCGTATAATAATTAATTCACTAGTAGCTAAAAAGCAACCAGGAGTGGGTCTTTTTCTGGCTACAGACCCTTGTTTGGGGTCTTTTTTGGCCACTGTACAGATGTGGCAACAAACAGTCCCTGGCTTGAAAAACTCAGTCTAGTTAGACAAGGACAAGGATAAGGGTGTGTAGCACGCTAGGGGAGCAAACACTGTGATGGCCTTCAATATTGGTTTGTGGGGGTGAGCCTTCACGGGAGATTAGCTAAATGGAGGAAACAGGTGGGGGAGGACCAAAGGGAAATGAAGCTGAAGAAAACATCTCTGGCCATTTCCAGAGACTGTCTACAGTCCTGATACCATGTACGTAGAAAGAATAGGCAACAGGAGGTGGCTTGTTTGGAAATAGAAGTCTGGTTTCTCAGTGAGTTTCTTTGCCTAAAAGAAGTTCTCTCTTGTAGCTTCCTCCCAGAGCTGCACTCAGGCTGCCTATCCCACCCAATGTACTTCCTTGTGTCCGGTTCCTGAAACTCATGTCCATGCAGCCATGGATCCAACCAATCAATAATCCAACTCCTAAATTTGCATTCAGTTGCCAGACACATCCTTTCAGGGGGGTGGTCTAGCACAGGGGTAGGCAACCCCCGGCAGGGGTGCCAAAGTGTGGCACAAAGGCGTTTTGCTTGGCATGTGTAAAAATGCCTTGGGGTGGACTGCCACAACAAGGATCGGACCCCTTGCGGCTACCCTGCTGTCTACCCTTGGCATGCCAACATCTTACAAGTCGAGGTTGTGGGTGTTTTTGGAACTCTGACCAAAAAACCTTGCTGACCCCTGGCCTAGCATGTACTCAGGCCTTGGATGGTGGCTTCTGTTGTTCAACTATCACTGACCAAAGGGGCACTTAATTGCTCTTATTTAACTTCAGTGAAAGGTACCTAGCAAGTCCATCAGGATCAGTGAAGTCTGATTGCCCATACATCACAGCAGCTGATGAACCAAGTCCTCTGGTTATGAAAGTGTATGCTATACATCTCCAACTTAGTCTATAAGGGCATTTTTACACGTGCAAGTGCTGCAGCGGCGAGCACTTCAAAAAGCGCCCAGTGCTGCATTGCTTGCAGTTATATAAGTGGCAAAATGTGCGTCAGCATGCAGAAAATGGCGGTGGTCTGCTTCTGAACTAAAACACATAGAAGGTCCAGGCACTAAAATGTATGTGTATAAATGCCCTAAAGAGGCAAATCTCCCCTTCTTTCTGCTGTAAATCAAAGACATGCTTGCTAGCAGCTGCCAACACCCTCCAGTACAGAAAAAAGTGAAGAGGTACAGATTTAGATTGCTTGGTGTGCTTCATGGTCAGAAAGTTTTTTTCTGGTTATTTAACCTAGATTTTCCAAGTGATTAAACTCCTAACTATCTGGTCAGATAAAGATTTGTGGATATAAATGCAATTAGGTGTTTTGTCTGTGTAACCAGTATCATTCGTGTCTCAATTTAAACCATGGAAAGGCATGTTGATTGCAAGTCAGTGTTTGTATTAAAAGCATTACTAGTAATAGTAATAATTTCATCCCATGTACAGCTCCTTTGACCATATTTAATTATTCCTTCTCTTTGTTTTACTACTGGCAAATGTTAATGTTATCATGGCAAGTGACATTAAAACAAGTCATCTTATCCTTCTGTATATCTTGGTTTCTAGCCCCAAGATGACGTCCCTTGCTTTTCTCTGAATTCTCTGTAGTTGTCAATGCCTCTCACACTAGTGTATAACAAAATACTTTACAGATCTTTTTGTGCTTGGAAATGCTGAGCAAATTGGTTCTGTAAAATGTCTTGCATTGGTTTGACCTTGTATTTGTTTAGATATTCTGCTAATTTACTTCCAGGTGCAAATTAAATATTCAAGTTCTAATTTAAATCAGCAAAACTCAGACATCCTGTATCTCCTTAATTCATTGCTGTAGGTACATAGGTTTGCTACTTGTATCATATGCAAAATCGCTTATTGCAGGAACACTATTCCACTCTAGTAATTTAGTTATATGGCAGCTCCTTAACCTGTCTCAGGTTATCTATAAACTTTCTAGTGAAATGGAAACTGGCATCATGGTCAGGGACAGCATATTATTGACGTTCTCTTCGGGCTGGTTATTTTCCTTCACTTGAACAGGATAGTTTTGTTTTCTGATGATTTTCAAATCCAGTGAGATACTACAGTCTCTGAACACTCAAATACAGTAGGAAGGAAGGAACCTCTGGCGCACGGACAACTGGGAAGGGAGGGGGAGTTTGGCCCAGGACACTAAGGTTATTATACAAAGTGAAGTGTTACGGGGTATGTTGTGTGCTTTGGAATACCACCGCTTTCACAGAGTGATACTGCAATATTTAGATTTACTTCTGGGGTTTTGAAAAAAACAAACATGGAAGGGCTTGGCCATAACAACATGACAGTTTGAGTGGCTACATATTAGAAACTTTCTGATTCTCCTGGGAATGGAATACTTTCCCCTGGCAAAATATTTTTCTACCCTGTGTAAGAATAACCCCTCCACCTTAGAACATATCCTGCTTTCACCGCTAAATTCATTGCAGCAAGTCCCCTTTCTTTCCAGTTATACAAGAGCAAATGATTTGGTCCTCAGATATGTTCTGTTCTCACAAACAAAAAACACAGGGTGCTAAAAATAAAAACAAATGTACCAACAGACTACTGAGATCTCTTGACAGTGCATGTTAGAGGTCAAACCTTGGCTGTCCTGAAAGAGGGCATCAAAGGGAACTGGCAGGATGTTCCTTCCCTGCACCATTATCTGCAGTGAGGCAGAAGACTTGGCAGAGTGACACCTTCTAGACTAACTTGCTCAGAGAGGCAAATTTTCATAGGTGCCTACTTCACCAAATGATACGAATTGATGTGCAGAGAGCAGGAGTACAAAAGAGAAAGGAATAAAAAGTTATTTAAATAAATACAAGGA